GATGGAGTTAAGCAAGGGCAGTCTTGGGGGTTCTCCACACAGGCTAGAGAGGGGACAAGGTGCTGTCTGCAAGAGGTTGGTGCAGCCTTGTACTTCCCCAAGACCGTTCCTACAGACACAGCTTTGTCCACTTCCCTTGGCCTTTGAGGAGAGACGTGTTGGGCCTCCGTGACACCAGTGAGTGGACAAGGAAGTCCAAAGGTAGTATTTGCAGGAATAGTCCACTATCTGTGTAGTCCCTGCAAGAGCTTTCAAAAGGAGGAGGGACTCCGTTTTGCTGGGATAGCCAGCCAAAACCTCTTGACTAGGGTCAAATGTGCAGGAAGAAGGATACCATGATCAAAGACCATCTCATGGCTCTCGACCTTAGTGAGCCTTAGCTTTCAGGTATGTCCCTCAGGCCATATGCTTGGCCACTAAAGAAGAGCTGCCCAGAAGCCCTTACCACAGGCAGCAGATTCTGCATGCAGAAGGGGTGCTTTCCATTGCTCTTCCTGTCCACACTGGGAGACTCATGTGCCATGCATGCTGGAAATTTCTTTCCTAGAAGTCACATCTGGAGCCATAGTAGTAAATAACAAATCGTCTTCACCAGCCTAGAAGTATGAGACCGCTAAAAAAACCGAACCATGAGCACTAAATGCTTTCAAAGGTCTCCTGGTCACTGTTGCTGCCAGAAGCCTTGCTTATGAGGAATCAGAACCCAGGGATGCCAGAGCAGCACATGTGTCTTGACAGCTTGTATGCTAGCTTGGGAGGTGACAGAAGGTGCTCATGTTCATGAGGGCTTCTTTTCTGCCACTTTTCCCAGTGCTGATTCACTAGTAACTAAAGATGAAAGGCCTGAGCTGTCCTAGAAACAGAGAAGACAGTTAGCTACTGCCTTCTGTCTAGAAAGCTCTTCTCCCCACCCACGCTAGGCTGACTGCAGAGATCTGAAGATGGGCTATATGGTAGCTGTCATGGCATCAAAGCTTCTTTGACACTTTTCTGTTTTGCTTTTTCACTTCTCACCAATTTCTTTCTCTGGGTTTTTATTTCCTTCCACCAGTTTTCATGTAATTTTCAGTCTTTCCTTAATGGCGTGCAGCTTCAGTCACACTGAAGTTCCAGCCTTGGCTGACCTCTTGCGGATGTGTGCCTGAGACAGCTTTAGCTCCTTTCAGACAAAGCTCCCCTTTTTGAGGTGGGTAGGACATTTGCTTCATCCAGCAGCACCCCTGAGGCCCTTCGGTGTGCTCACAACATACATGAAATCTCAGATCCCAGACAAATGGGCAGCACGTTGCAAGCTAAACTGGATACCCTTGAAGACTCTGTGAATAAGTTCATGACTCTATCAGTGGTGATGAATAAACTTCAGAAAGGTTTGGGAAGACACCTTCTATTTTGGATGCCTTGTTGAAACCGCAGTGCAATCTCTTAATGGTTTCTCCAAAGTCATGCTTCCCTAGGGCTGTCCTTGTGAGTCTGCATCACCCAGCTGCCTCAGGTTTGTGCTCTTTGACTGCCAACAGGGCATCTTCTTCACCCCACTTCCCAGCACCAGCTTCCCCTGCTTCATCACAGGGAAGGTCAACAGGCCTCGTGTCTGATGGTAGCCCCGTGGGCTGGGCTTTCCTTGGGAGCTAGCTGGGCTCCCTGGCATTGAAATGACATTAGTAGCGTATCTCCCTTTCCTGTGCTCCAAGATGAACGTCCAAGAATGAGAAAACAGGGTGAATTTTTCAAAGATACTTGCCTGACCAGGGAGTCAAATTTCCAGTTTCAAAATGGATACTGAGAAACTTAAGTGTATGACTAGGGAGTTCAGTGAAGCCTCATGCAGAGCCATGCCCTTAAGTTCTCCCCGAGCAGTTTGAGGTGCACAAATAGCCCAGCACACTCCCACATGGAGGTGTTAGCACAGGTCCCAAAAAACAGATGCTCTGTAGCACAGAAAACAGGTTTGGTCATGGGCAGTGAGGGTGCACCAGCTTTTTTGCTCAGTGCAGACCTACCAAAACTGCAGTGAAAACCAGCAAGAAATCAAGTGCCAAAGGCACGTCAGTCATGCAGCGCCTTCCAAAGCTTTCTTCTGTGAGAGGGACAGCAGGTGAAACGTCCCCTGGACATGAGGCACCCTGCCTTGGAGAACTGGGAAATGCATTCTTTAGGGGAAAGATGGACACGTTTGGAACTGTGGAGGTGTTGAGGTGGAGAAGGACAGTAGATGGGATGGAGAGATTATGCAGCCTTTTATTGGCTATATCTTCTCCTTGGATCATGCTGGATTCAGAGGTGTATCGGCAGGTCCCCTGTGGGCATCCAGCATCCGTCATTGAGGCTCAGGCTACCTCTGGAGTACCAGCAGGTTGTCCCACAGGCGGATGGCCTCCTTTAGGAGCCTGTGGCAGTGGTGTATCGGTGTGTCAGCAAATGCCTCAGCCTTCCCCCCCGGGAGTGTTAATGCAGGTGTCCAGGCAGGGATTAGACATCTGTGCACTGGGGGAATGGCACCAGCCACGTCCATCGCCGTGGGAGATCTTTACACCTTGTCCTGCCTTGTGCCCAGCCACCTGCTGCCTCCTCAAGTCCTTCCCCAGACCTCAGCTGAATCTCGCCTCTCCTGTTTGGAGAGGAGCCCTCCAGCTCGGAGAAGCCTGTATCCTTGCTGGCCTGACAGGTGGGCTGGTGTACCCTTGGTCTGTACAGCTGGTGTGGCTGCTGAGAGCCCCTAGCGCTCCCTCGCGTGTCGTGATTCCCACCTGCTGGCCCAGATCAGTGTATGCCCATGACAAGGGAGAACTATTAAAAATCAAGGTTTTCTGGTCATAATGAATAGGGAAGACTTCTCTAATTTTTACCTCTTCCCCCCAGGGGAACTAAATAGTTGCTGAAAAAACTGTCTGTGTTCCCTTAAGCAAGTAGAGAGAAGCAGGAATTCATCTCTCTTCTTGACTTTTTTTTATTGCCACTGGAGTTGCGTATCTGTAACGTGCCATCTAAACATAAATCTGTCAAGAACAACAAATGCAGCCATAGCCCTTGAGCAACAGTACAGAACTAATCTGCCAACAAGCTTTGGAACTACAAAGCTTTGGTCATATTAAACATCAAAGCCATCCCTTCCTCATCCTCTTCGCTGTGTCCTCAGACTGGGAGCAGGCGTTAGCGTACCTTTGGGAGGCACGAAAGGGTCAGATCAGCACTGCCCACACGCAGCTGGCTTTAAGCGTGTGGGACCTGGACCAGGACCAGGACCTGGACGTGGACCTGGACCTGGACCTGGACCTGGACCTGCCCCACTCCACCTCACCGTACACGCAGGTTGGGACGAGTCGTCTGACACTGTGCTGAGGCTGCTCCGGCTGCTTGCTGTCCTTCGCAGTGGACCGGCAGAGAGCTAAGCCATTGACCTCAGGCTCGGGCCTCTGGTCCACATCCTTTTTGCTGAGGTGTCTTTCAGTCCCTTCTTTGTTGACCAGCTGGGGTCTGCCGAACACTGAGGGACAGTGCAATCTTGTGGGTGGCAGTTGAGAGCGAGGAAGGTCTGACGTGTATGAGGCTCAGAGCCTGCAGCCCCGCTTACCCCGGGAAGTTGGAAAACAGATGTTAAGATGCTAGCTATAATGATAAAACCCTCTTAAGCTCAGAGGAGTGAGAGGTCGGTTGGGGAGGGAGGGAGTTGTGGGACGGGCAGGTAAGAGCTGGGACTTCAAGAAAGCTAGGCATAACTTTGAGGGACTATCCAAGGAGGCCAGAAGAAAAGATGTGAAGTGAGGGAGAGAGATAAGTGCTTGGGGGAGAAGCGTTTGACCACCCACAGCTGAGCTCCCATTGCTTCCCAGGTTCACCTGCAGCTGTGGCAGGTCACAACAGAGAGTGTGCGGGTGCTGCTCCACCGTGCGTGGTTCAGCAGCTCCCGCTGCACCCCTGCCCACATCCCTGTGCTCCCCAAACCTGGCTCAGCCTGGGAGCTGCTCCGGGAAGCTTACTCATGAGCTGGTGCACATGCCTGGTGGCCCTCGTCCGCAGGGCGCCATCCCTGCCACTGCAGCATCATGCTAATGGTGCCCCATGAGCTGGCACATCCCGGTCCATCACGTAACATTGGTCAGGATAGCCTGAGAGAGCCTCACAGTTGGGCAGCATGTGAGACCTGTTCGGTTCAGCTTTCTTCTGTCCTTTTCTCTCTGTTAACACAGAGACTCTGCACATGCTTTCTTTCTAACCGCAACGTAACCCTTTTCCCTGGAACATCCTGTGGGTACTTCTGGGGTAATAATGGGAAGATGCTTGCCGTACACAACGCTCACTGTCGCCTGAGCAATGCTCACCGCTCTGTGGTGCCTCTTGTCAGTCTTGTCTAGCTAGCAGCTCCAAGGACAGTCTCTGAAAGTAGCATCCAGCCCATCTCGATCTTCCTGCCAGCTGGTGCTTCTAGCAGGTGAGAAGGAAGGAGGCAGGCAGAGGAGGAAAGGAGGGGTTTGGCTGGCTGCTTGAAGACCCAGGCCAAAAATAGAGCTGGAATGCTGATGTTGCAGGTGCCTGGTTAAAGCAAAGCAAAGAGTAAATATGTGCGTAAAGCCTTTATTTTTTCCATTCATCACAATGCACTTTTTGTTTCTGACCTTAGCCTCAAGAATGGTGCCAGACATGTTCTGTGATTTCTCCCCTTTTCCCCTCCAGATGTCCAAACGGATTCTTCGGACAGAGATGTTTGGAGAAACTGCCTTTGCGATTGTACATGCCAGATCCTAAGCAAAGTATGTTTGAAGACAAAAAATGCACCACACTACTTAAAACCTCCCGGGCACAGCGGTGGATGTAGAGTGGTCTAGTCAGGGATGGCTCTTGGTGTCAGCTTTGGGCTAGGGCTTAGGGATGCAGGTAAGGGTGAAGGCTGAAAGCAGACAGATAGGAGTCGTGGAAGGGATCAGAAGGGGCCTCAGTTTGGTCTGTTTGGGTATCATTTTGCTATCTTGTTTCTCTCTTTCTGGTTTTCTTTCTTCCGGTAGGTGTCCGATCGAATTCACAGGAGACCGGTGTCAGCATTTCGCAATGGTCAGCTTCTCCAGTATGTCTCTTTCTACTTCTCTCTCTCCCTGGTTATTGTAGCTCTGTGTCGTGTCCTTAAAGCAGGTTCTTCTGTTCTCCAAGAGCCCTCTTCCTGTCTTGTGCGCTCCCAGCTCTGCTTGGCCGTAAGAGGAGCTGTGATCGTGTCCAAGAGGAGAATCGGGGCTCTTGTTATCTCCCCATTTGTTAGAATGGGTTCTGCTTTCGTTTCTGATTGAACTTAACGTTGCTCGCTCTTTTCATGCAAAATGCAAATAAGGCACAAGGTTATGTGGTGTGCTGTGTGAGAACAGTCTGTGTGATAAGCTGTATCTGCTAGCATTACTGTCTCAAGAGGGACTATGTTGTGCAGATCAAGAGATGTACATTTTCGCATGACTCTTGCGAGGGGGTGTGTGAGTCTCTCTGTACCAACTGAAGAAATCACAGCAAGGGCTGTAATGAAATTTCCCCTGAGACAAGGTTGTGTTTCTGTTTCCAGAAGCTAAACCAAGCGTCAGTTGCTGTTGAGGTGAGATGGTTGGAGGCTGGCTCGGAGTCAGATCCTGGAGCACGCCCAGAGGGCTGGACAGGGCACATGTGCACGCCTGGAGCCCCAGGGGTCAGGCTGGGGGCTGCCACGGTCTCAGGGCTTCCCACGCCTCAGTGCCACGCAGGATACGGGCTAAATCTGCTGACTGGGCATCTCAGACTATATCCCTCCCAGATGCAGAGATGTTCCTGTCTCTCCTAGAGGGTTGGAGAGCCTTGCATATGGGGTTGTGTCTAACTACAGTGACCAATCCTGTAACCTCATATTCAGTGGGTGTAAATACCCTAGAGCCCTTGCACTTAGTGCTTCCCAGTTTCTAGTTTCCAGTTCCTACAGGCTCTAGGTCTCCAGAGATGCCTCGCTTATAGACATCGTTAGCTCATTTTGTTCAAGGCAGGTAATTTTTTGGGTCCATACTCAGTGGAGTATGGACCAGTGTCCCAGCATCAGTGGGACCCTGGTCTGGGTAAGGACTGACCTGAAAGGAGGCACAGTTACAGCGCACGAAATCAGCCACGGTCACCCTCTGTGTGACCCATCCTGCCTCCACACTGGCCGTTTGGATCTTTTTGCCCCCCCCGGTGTGCCCCCCCCTGCCTCCACACTGGCCGTTTGGACCACCACAAACGGTGGTTTTTAAAAAAGGGCTTTTAAAAAGCGACTTTTTTCCCTGGCGTTTTGGCCCACCACAAACGGTGGTTTTAAAAAGAGGCTTTTTAAAAAGAGCCACAAAAGAGGCTTTAATTAGTGGGAACCAGAGGAGAAATGCCTCTCCGTGATGACTCTTTGATTGCCAGTACCCGGTCTCCCACCGCTCTGTAAGAAATCCTGCAGTCCTCATGAACTGGCAATAGCAGGAGTCTCATTAGCACGTGCTAATAGCTGGCAAGCGCTCGCATTAGACTCCCTTCTACAGAGTATACAGACAAGAGGCAAATGGCTTTGTGAGGCCCTTGGGACAGCTTGATGCTTTTACATTGCCTTTTGTTCCAAATTGGCTTCCAAAGTTGAAACCTCCATTGATTTATTCTTTCAGACTAAAACATCCAAGTAAGCTCTTTTTAAAATGACAAAACAAAATGTTCTGTTTTGATCTTTAACCTGATGCAAAAGGGCTTCCTTTCCACTTTTAAGCCCATGGTGTCAGGGACCCTGGCTGCAGACAGCAGTGGGATGCTCACCCGATGAAGCTGATTTGTAGCATGTTTCATGAGGTGGTGTCCAACAGGCTTAAACATTATTGCTACCATGCTGCAAAACCAAAACAGGGGTGAAAATGAGTTTTATGTCAGGAAAATGCCTTGTCAGAACATTAATGGCAAGAGTAAACAGCGTGTGTTTTTTCCCCAGCCTGCAGAATCCAGCTTTTTATGGGAATGAGATTTGTTTAAATTTTATTCATGTGTTAGAGGACCAATGCCGACTTTAAAACCGACACATGTGCATTTCCTTACCTCAATTCTGTTTTAACCACAGGACAGTAAGGTAAAAACAGCTTAACAATCCAGGTTACCTGTCTGAACTTGGATAAAAATCATCTAAGAAGATGATTCATATGTGTTTATAGTTGTTTTCACTTTCAGGTCACAGTTGGGTAATATGTGTAGCAACAACACTGCAGAAAATCATGCACTGAACTTGCTGTTCTTCTGAATAGGAAAGGCATCTCACTTGTGTCTGGACTGTGCAAATGCTTACTTTCTACTTTAATCAATAATTAGGGCACAGTAGAAGTTGCTGTTGCTGTATAATTCACTCAGTGCTTCATCCCATATGGGTTCTGACAGGTCAAAAGCTGAAACAGATTAAATGAGGTTCAGGCATTTCCACTGGAAATAAAATAGCTCCGTCCTAATTCATGTTTTGAGAACATTGCCAGCACTTGACAGGTACTTAAATAGTAAATAATGACACCTACACTGGTGTTGTTTTAAATGCATTTGGGGTATTTTAGGTTTTCAGGCCTAGATCAGAGCCTTCTGATTCTTTAACATAAATATTCAATATTACAATATGATTTTTAGTAGGTATGTCCCAGGGCAGAGCGAGAGTCTCTGCAGAGTGAACTAAATTTAAGATGCTGTTCTGAAAAGATATGGCAGATACTTTGCTGAATTTGGGCCAGAGATGGTGCAGCATCCCAGCATCATGGCCAGATGTTGTGTATCTTCCTTCTGGGAGCAGCTTCCTATCTCACCCGTTTAAACCCTTATTCAGATTTTGCTCAGGTAAAACTCCCCATGTTCTCTAGGAGTTCAGGCTATCTTTGTCTATTTGACAGGTAGCTCTGGAGGTTTGTTTTTCTCTGATTGTCAAAAATACCTGCTAGACCACTGCAATTATGAAGATGAAAACCAGATGTATCTAGATAGGTTTTCTTGCGTGTGATGTTTCTCTACGTTGCTGTTACAACCATATGACCAAGTGCCTACTGCCAGACGTTCTGGGTATATATCCTACTGCTTGAAAATGAAGAGGAAATGTTAAAGATGGAGGTTTTTTCTATGTCGTGCTCACACTGTTGCTATTTTCTAACAGATTGGTACAGAGGAACTCACTAGGAATTGTATTACTGGGCTAGCTCAGAAACCTCCCAGTCTGTCCCGGCTCAGCCCTTATTTGAATGAATGCCATTTGCTTTTAGTAGGAATTTGCAACAGCAGAATTCAAGCAAGTATCTCAGCGGTTGGTTCCTATCTGCTTATAAGGAGTTTACATTTTATTTTGCTTGCATTGTAATGCAAATGTGATTGGAAATGTGTTGAGATACTGGAGAAAAAAAGTGAAGCATGCTAAAACAGCTACTTATCTGAGAAAATGGATGCATAGTGCAAACAGACAACATTGCTCTGGCCTAGCAAGGTGCCACTTCTGAGCAGAGCTGGGGTACCTGACTGTGTCAGCTCTGTAAGCCTGCCTTTACACTAAGCCTGCATTAGTCTAAGCCACCCTGATGGTCTGTTTTCTAGCAAGGCTCATACCGTAAGGAAATCTAAGGCAGCACGTTTATTTTGCGCAGCAGTGGCTAGGTATGTGCAGACAGTTGGCTACCATCAGTCAGCAGATGGACAATAACCTGCTAAACAGCAGCAACACGGATGAGGGCCTTTGAGACATTGACGCATAGTAATCCCACATCCAGTAAGGTCTGTGGGAAGCAAAGTCTCACAGGGAAACTTAAAAGCTTTATCTTGTTTATCATGGGTCAGTTTTAGGACAGTATGAGAGATGGCTTTCCCACATTCATCAAAACAGAAAACTACCAGAAGAAGGAAGGAAGGAGAGATGTCAGAGCAAACAACTGCACATTCACTGAGATTAAAATAGTTGAAAGGTACATATCTGAGAAGAAAAAGATGTCCTGACTTAAGATGTGCTGACTTAAGCCTGGTTAGATCTCTTTTGCCTGTATGAAATTTCACTGATCTCAGTTGATCTCTGTGCACACTCCTCCATCCACGCATTAGGAATTGGCTGATGGATCAAGGTTAGAAGACCATGTTGTCCGGGCTTTAACTAACCTGTAAGAGGAAAGCCTTATAGAGGCTGTACAATATAACTGAGGGACATTAAAGAAACATTTAAAGCAGTTTTAATTTAGGCTGAAGGAGAATTAATGGCAGTGAACAGAGGGGACAGCGATTGTCTGCATTTACTGTATGAAACAGAGGAATGCCCTGGTAGATTAGAATACAGAGAATTATTTCCATGGGTGATGAATCATTAAATCATCTTACTAAAATGTTTTTCACATCAAGGTCTTCATACTTCTATGTGTCCATATGATTATAGTTGCAGATATAATTAATATACATACTGCATTGTACATATGATGGTAAAGTCACATCGTCTGCTAGTTTCAGGAGTTGGCTCTTGCAGTTATGGTGTAACTGATGAAACCAGAGGGCTTGGAGATCCTAACTCCAAAATGTGACCTAAAGCAGGAATCCTCCCTGACCCTGGCCACGAGGAATGCAATGTGCAGGCAAGGAGTAACCAGCTGTTCACGTCATGAACTTGTCTTCTGACCCCGGTTCTCCCTGCCCCTCTCTTTGCAGCAATAATGCAGCCAGACCCTCATTATTTTTTCAGTGGGCTTTTAGACACCTGTTTGAGAGGTTTGAGTCCAAATTCATAACCCAGGTTCCCTTCATAGTCACTGCAGAGGGTTCGGCACCCAAGGATGAGCATTTGGCTAATTGAATTCCAGTGCTGAGGGTGATGAGTTACAAACTCAGAGGTTTAGCTGTCAGATGTCTCTCCCGGAGCCCTGGTACAGGTACTTGCAGAGTCACAGATCACAGGTGTCTCTGGCTGTCCATGCACTAGTGAGAACAAAGGTTTAACACATCAAACTGTTGATCCACAGCCTGAATTAATCCATAGCATTAGTACCCAGGGACCATTTTGCCTCTGCAGTCAGATCTTCATCTCTGCTAGCACACGTGGGTGAAAAGTTCAGGAATATC